TATAGTGTATTCAATTTAATTTAATTTCTTTTATTTATTTTTTTTCATGTTTCCATTACTGTTCTTATTAAATATCGCACATTGTTATCATAGAAGACCTGCCAAGGAAGGTGAAATGTTGTAAGAACTTGTCCGTATATTTACTATAGATATCTAGCAATCAAAGCACTTTCTATACAGTCACGACAATACGCGGATGTGGCGGCGATGTAGCGTCTTCAAAGATTCGAGGAAAACTGACACTTGATCTGAAGAATAGGCAGTCTAAATAGTTTAAGCGGATTTTCTTCAAAGTCAGTGGAATCCCCGAATATTCTTCTAATCGCAATTTAATGTTCAGTCGCAGTTTCCTTTGATTGTACCCTTCACACGTTCAATATTTTCGGTGTCTGTTGAGAAATCTTTTAAAACTTGAGCCGCTTTTAAAATAGATTTCCGGCTCACACGTCGTAGTTTTATGTGGCGTTCAATCAGTGAATCATCTCCGATTGTTTGTTCAGAAGAATATCTAACTATTTAAGCAATATAAGCTGCGTATCAGTCGCTCAAAGAATACGCACCCTCACACAATGGTATCTCATCTGCTAACCGACTAATTCCCACATGAGAGTCTCTGGTCACGCATGCGCAGTAAAATCCCTAGTGTTCCGTTGCCAAGTTATATAAAAGCTAAACCAGAGTTTCTCTAAATATTCAAAATGTTTGAATATTTTTTTCCGACAGAAGTCGGAGAATATTTTGGACTGAATAACAATAATAAATATAAGCTAATCGCCCAGACATTGTTATTAGGGAGCGGAAACAAAAAAAAAAAAACATCCTTATTAATATGGCAGTTTCTGCAAACTGCAATGTATTTTTGAAGATCTTCAAAAATCTATCAAAATACAAAGACATCGAAATCTCAAAAATGTGGCACATGAGGCCATCATCAATTCCAGTTGTATTTGGAGCACTCAGAATGATTGGCAAAGATTCCAATAAACTTGTTGAAGGAATCCCTGGTAGCTCAAGCTTTAAAAATACATAATAATCCATCTATATATATATATATATATATATATATATATATATATATATATATAGATATATATATATACGATAATTTGTGTAACAATTGGCGGGGGCAGTGTGCAATTAATGATGAACCACCCGGTGCCGTGCTAACTTGGTCCCGTTGACGCGGACTGATATCGCAATCGATGACGGTTCGTATATTATAATACGCCACATATATCTTCAAGAACGCTTTGCTAATTTTTAGAAATTCATTCTAAACTTTGAAAATTATAATTAAAAAAACATAAAGTTGGGGCTTTAAGTCATCGAGAGAATGTTTTTTTTTTTATTATTCACACTACATCCTTCATTTATATTATTTATGATAGCAATTAAAAGCTTATACAATTTAATACTTAAATAGTTTTAATGCGAGTTTTATATTACGATTCGGAGCATATCTTTTGGAATTTGGCAATAGCTTGAGAAAAAATAAATTTAAAATATATTTGATGATACATTGCTCTTAGTAGGCCGAAAAATAAGCAGACTCTGAAATTCCAGATTGAATCTACAGATCGTCATGGATTACGCAGACCTTCCAATGTTTACACAAAAAATATTATGCTTTGAAAACTTTTGCATTAAACATAATTTTGGTTGTAAAAATGAGGATAATATAATATTCCTTCTTGCCGTCAGTTTTGACGACATGGGTACACTAGTAATGATATATATGGGCTGCAGAATTAATTTCAACTGGGAATTAATTTCAACTCGGAAATAATTTCAACTCGGAACGAATTTCAAATGAAAAAAAGTAAATAAAAAAAGTACCACTTTATTCATTTGCAACAAAAAAGAATGACGGTTTCAGAAAAGATGAATTCTGAATTATCTTATCTACTAGGGATTTTTAATACTAAATTAAAAAATTAACACCAACTACATTATTTTTCGGAATTTTAAATCGAATTGAAATTAGTTCCGAGTTGAAATTAACTCCGAATTGTAATTAATTCCGAGTTGAAATTAGTTCCTAGTTGAAATTAATCCCGTGTTGAAATTAATTCCGAGTGAAATTAGTTCCGAGTTGAAATTAATGCCGATTTGAAATTAATTCCAATCTGAAATCAGTTAAATTAGTTCCGTGTTGAAATTAGTTCTGTCGTATAAATTAGTGTCTGGACGTAAAAATACCTGGGTTAGTGTCCAAACGCGTGGTAAGCCCGCTAGGTTTCAAAGATGACGAGTTTGGCTGAGATGCTTCGTCCGCCGTAGCCCGGTACACACTTCTCTTCGGTCTTTTCAATAGATGTATATGTTTATTCCTTGTTTCCTGATTACGACTGGCTTTCAGGTTCCTTATAAATTCTTTTTCATTCCTTATAGCCGCTTGCGTTTTAGAGGCAATATCGACTTGCTTGGGGTGAATTGATAAAAAAAAAAAAAAAATGAGAGTATTAAAGAAGATATCTCTAAGGGGAGATAACCACCTTGAGCTTTGTTTTGACAATCTACTTTGTACTAAAGCCCAGAACAAGATTTATTTGAGGAAGAATTGCGCTATATCAAACAAATCCTTTATACAACAATGGAAATATCTTATATATTCGTCTAATGCGAGTTCTCGCCTACCGTGCGACCCCCAAATTTTCACTTATAAAAAATGATTTTATCATGTATCTTGTGTAACAAGGGAGTTCCTTTTTAGGGACACCAAATTACAATAAACTAACCTCTTTTCCTCAATCTCTTTATCCCATCTTCTAATTAAATAAGTTCAAAAAGTCAAAGAGAATGATAAAAGTATCGTTAGTAAAGCTATACTCGATGCGTAAACGCGTCCAGCCATAAACAACCGAACGAGAAACACCTAAACATCTTATAAGCGTAAACAATTTAAAACATGCATATTCACTATGTTTGTATTTTATAATACGACACTAATATGTGACTATTACATGCATTAGATATGTTTGATGCACCATTCAAATGAAAACTCAACCGTCGAGACAACGTAGTAGTAGTAAGATAAACATATATATTATTTTTTTCTGTTGAAGATACAATCTCCCAAGGGATATTTAAATTTATATACAATGTTGGTTTTCTGAAATACGTTGCTTGGTGGGCGGAGTATTTACAAATTATTAAATTGAATATATTGAATTTCGTATAGTATATACTAAGAAACTTGCCCGTGAATATGAGAGGATCCTATTGAAAATAAGTAGACAAAACTTGCCCCCCCACCCAAATCTTTTGAACAGGAGTAGGGTTTTATCCTTTGTTTCGTGTTTCGGATTATCTTTCCGGTTCCTTCTAATGTCTACTTCAACTCTATACTTCTAACGACTCTGCCTAAACTCTGTAATGTTATTTATTTATTTTCTTCCTTCAGTAGGAGTAGATAGGTTTTTTGAATAGGAGTAGAGGTTTATCCCTTGTTTCCTGTTTAGGATTGGGTTTCCGGTTCCTTCTAAAGTCTACTTCAACTCTATACTTCTAACGTCTCCACCTAAACTCTGAAATATTATTTATTTATTTTCTTCCTTCAGTAGGAATAGATAGGTTTTTTGAATAGGAGTATAGGTTTATCCCTTGTTTCCTGTTTAGGATTGGGTTTCTGGTTCCTTCTAAAGTCTACTTCAACTCTATACTTCTAACATCTCCGCCTAAACTCTGAAATGTTATTTATTTATTTTCTTCCTTCAGTAGGAGTAGATAGGTTTTTGGAATAGGAGTATAGGTTTATCCCTTGTTTCCTGTTTAGGATTGGGTTTCCGATTCTTTCTAAAGTCTATTTCTGGTCTATATTCGTAACGCTTGTCCTTTCTACGCTAATATAACTCGACATAGTAACCATCCAACTTGAGTGGCTCTTGAGCCTTGGATTCGGTGAATATTAGTAAACAAAACTTCTCGCTTCTGGAACACTGTTTCGCTTCCACGCTTTCCAGCTAAAATTGTTCTTCACAAATTTAAATGCAATTCCATTTCTTATCTATTGTCTTCCTGGTTACTTTTTATTTATTGTTATCGCTCCTTAATATTTCTCTTTCTTTTTCTTAGTCTTTCATACTCGGTAACCCCCCTTGCATCTCAGTGGCTTTATTACCTTGCTTAAATCATTAAAACATATTTGTGTCAACCAGAAAACGTATAACTATTATTTAGAAGTGCAAAGCATTTGACTGTAATCTTTTTTAAGTGTCGATGTCGTGTTGTTTGTAAAAGAAAATATTTCATGATCTCAATCCTCATAGCGGGTGGTCATAGAAGTAATTACGATTGTGTGAAGAATAATAAGATCAGTTCTCGCTGCATTTAACGCTAACCATTGACCTACATGTTGGGAAGTTAGCTTCGTCCGTTTGCAGCTTGGTGGGTCGGTCGGGAAATCAAGATTCCCACCCAGTCATGCCTTTCTCTGAACTTTTGTAGGATAAAGTCACTTTTAATTACTATTGAAATATTTAGTAGTTTCCCCATTAGTCGTAAGGTGGCTTTCATTGAAGTCTAAGTTGAGGAGAGAATGGATATATTGAGTTGGTTTGGAGAACAAATATCTTCAATACCACCGCACTCTCCTCGGATTAGTCTTACAACCATATCACGTTGAAACCGAAGTTAAGCAATGTCAATCCTGGCCTGTACTTAGATGGGTGACTGCTTCGGAATAGCAAGTGCTGTAAACTTGGCTGTTCGGCTGGTATGACATGGCCATATCGCGTTGAATCCTTGGTTCTCATACAATGACTGAAGTTAAGTAACGTCGAACCTAGTCAGTAGTTGGATGGGTGACTGCTTCGGAAAAACAGGTGCTGTAAACTTGGCTGTTCGGCCGAAATGACTTATGGCCATATCACGTTGAATCATTGCTTCTCATATAATGACTGAAGTTAAGTAACGTCGAACCTAGTCAGTAGTTAGATGGGTGACTGCTCCGGAATACCAGGTGCTGTAAATTCGGATGTGCGGCTGGTATGGTTTACAGACATATCGCGTTGAAGCAGCGGTTCTCATACGATCACCGAAGTTAAGCAACATCGAGCCTAATCTGTAGTTAGATGGGTGACATCTAGGTGATCCCAGGTGCTGTAAACTTGTAGGTGCGGGTTATATGTCTTATGGATATATTTAGTTGAAACACCGGTTCGTGTACGATCACTGAAGTTAAGCAACGTGAACCTGGTTAGTACCTAGATTGGTGACCGCTTGGAAATACAGGGGGATAAAGTGTTCTTCAAGTTTGTTTCGAGTACTCTAATTATCATAAGCACAACTATCACAGTCACGTTACACAACTGTTTCAGTTCTCTTACTATATCTACACACTTATACAGCTTTTCTTTTTTTTATCAGTTCAATTAATCAAGGCGATAAGGCCACTAAGACGCAAGGGATTTAAAGTGAAGGCTTTAGAAAGAATCGGAAACCCAATCCTAAACAGGAAACAAGGTATAAAACACATATATCACTGCCTCTAGTAATTGTGTTCACACAAATATGTATATGCACAAAAGCTGTGTATCACCTGTCACGTACTCAATTGTGAAAGCTGAATAACATATATAATATTTTATTTGTTCAAAGATTCAAAGAAAATTTAATTTCGGTATTAAATGACCCATAAGGATTTGATATGCTCATAAACAGATAATTTGAGGTTATTTAAGAACATGACTCAGCTTTTTAGCTAAAATAAACAGACGGATTTTCTTAAATAGCTTCGTTTAATTTTTTTATCGCAGATTGAAGTGTTGGGTGAAATTAACTCTAGGCATGTATTTTAAAGTTAAACTATTTCTGTTCAATGGACAGGGGAGAAACGTCAACCAGACGATAGGCGAACTTATTTATTTATATTATTTTTTGTTTCGATTAATCTGTGTTTAAAATGATATCAATGTTTCATATCCTGCATAATTAGATCTGGTCTCCTGATCTGGAATACGTGATGCGTTTGATTTTTTTTTTTTTTCATATGCCATTTCATAGATCTAAATCTTTTGAACAGTTCCTACTGGATCGCCATTACCGCCCTGTCAAGCTTGTTATACATTTTCTAAAACATTCTTAATTTTCTTGCTGTTGTTTATGCTTTCATCAGTTCTATCGTTACTGGCGGAATCTTGCCTTTAGCCGTTTCTCTGTTTCAGCATAACTTCTCCAAGAACAAAATTAAATTCTGCTTATGCAAATATCAAATAAATAATAAATTTAAATTTATCTTCCTTAATGTTAAATTTATTTCTGTTTCTTTCTATGATCAGGCCCAGTGCCGGCAATTGTACAAACTGCAAATGGGTAAATAATAGTCGCGATGAGGCGTCTGGCTTACAGTGGGTTACAGTTGTTGTAGGCCATCGAGCACGATGGGATAGAGTGGGCTCTATAGCTATGGATAGAGCCAATGCGGTGATGACACGGCATCGCGAGTTGGAGGACTTACTCGACTGAAGACTGGCCCCTATTGAATCAACAACGGCGTACCCATAACTAATGGGAGTCTTCAAGTTGTAGGCCATCGATTGGAGAGAGATGGACTCCGCCCGGTCAACTTGCACCAAAAAACACGCTAACAAGCAATGAATGATTCTACGGCTTTCGACACATGTGGAGGGAACTGGTCATAAGTTCACTTGCAGTGTGATCATACGACCACACCCAGTCAGGTGGGAAGGGTGCTGCTGATGATGATGATGATGGTTACTATTAGTACTTTTCAGATAAAATCTTGACTCAAGAGTAGCTAATCTTAGTAAATAAATTTAGTTAGCAATTTAGTTTTATAGAACATAAATTCGAACCTAGTGGGGGTTCGATTGTAACTGAATTAAAGATGGATGTCTACTGGGGTCTCAAGAGCTATAACCTTGAGCCAGATTGAAATATGCTTACAATATATCCTCAACGTGTAATTTGATATCTAAAAGGTTAGAGGGTAGGTGGTCGACACGTGGTAATTTTTAATTTAATTGGAAAGACTATACTGAATTGCTAGGTCAGCCTGCCACCCGATTCACTGTCTTTCAGTAGTCTATTCTCTTTTACAATAAACCTCTCTTTCTTTCATCTAAGCGCGTGTTGCTGTTCCTTCACTCGAGTACCACCTTTGTCTGTTTGTAACCTTCTTTAAGGACACAACAGTTTTTTTTTTTACTTTAAACCCTAAAAGTAATAACACTTAATAAACTAAAACTTGCACTTAGCACTTTTCGAAAATAAAGAAAATTATATTTTTTTTCTTTTCTTTTTTTAATTTTTTTTTTAATTTTCTTAATTCTTTAAATTCCGTGTAAATATTTTTGAAAAATCTATCTATTATTTTACATCGATCGCTAAACAAAAAGGACGAATAATAAGCAAAAACATGGAAACATTAACCGTAACCCTAACCCTGTGCCAAAAAATCATGAGAAATATAAGGAAAGGTTCTAAATGCATATTTTAGTTTATTTGAACAAAAGTGAAAACACATAGGAGAACCTGTTCAACATAATCTACAATTTGGTACAGCTAGACCCTTACACGGTTACCCCATTTTTTGGAGTATATATATATATATATATATATATATATATATATATAAACAATATCGAAATTGATTTGATTAATAAATCAAAAATTCGAGGGTTTTTCGAAACGAGTCTAGTTATTTATATATAAATATATATATATATATATATAAAGAAAGAACAGTAAGATATATAATCAGGTGTTCTTATAGATATTTTCATTTTTACAAAACAGTGCTCAATATAAATTTACAGAGCATAAATATTATAATTTAACTGATTTAAAATATGTTTTTTTCGCTACACAGTTCTAACCATGTTTCAAAAATGGAAGCTAAAAGCTTGAATTTAATTTTGTAATTAAATTAAAGACATTAGTTCCATTTCATCCTCAAGCGAATTTATATATATATATATATATATATATATATATATATATATATATAAAGAGAGAGAGAGAGAGAGAGAGACGAAAAATTTATATATATATATATATATATATATATATATATATATATACGAAATGTTGATCAATAAAAATTTTTCGTTTAATTTTAAGGCATTCAGTTAATAAAATCTCATGGCTTTTTTTTTTCTGAATTTGTTATAAAACGCTTTGGCAATTTTCCTCACAGGCAATTTTCTCAATGGGAATTTTCAACACTGGCAATTTTCCGGATGCCATTTTTCCAGATGCAGTTTTTTCGTTCACGCTCTATGATACTTAGACTTTACGAATTCAGATACAGTACTAGATTGACAGTTAGGTCTCATCATTTATACATTTGAATTGACTAGATGTAACCGTAAGTTCTATGCTAACAGTTTCTTTCATCGCACTTCTCGCTTGTGGGACTCTCTTCCGGTTTTTACTTCTTAGTAATGTTTGATTTTCCAAAATGTAGATGCAATGACAACGGTTATCTTCTGTCTTCTTAATTCCTGTTCTTTTATTGTCCTCTCTCTTTAATAGTAGTTTTTCTCATATTCTATAACACTCAGTGACCTCTTGCGTCCTAGTGGCTTTATTGCCTTTGATCTTCAAAAATTTAAATGCAATATCAATCTTTATCTTTTGTCTTCTTAATTCTTGTTCTTTTATTGTCCTCTATCCTTAATAGTGGCTTTCTCATATTCTCTAAGACTCAGGAAGCTCTTGCGTCCTAGTGGCTTTATTGCCTTGGATTTTCAGAAATTTAAATGCAATGTCATCTTATGTCTTCTTAATACTCGTTCTTTTATTGTCCTCTCTTCTTTTCTCATATTTTCTAATATATTTCATGATAATTCACTGTATGTATATGGTACCTAGAATTCATCAATTTAAGCGCAGTACTAGATTGGCGGCAAGGTCTCATTTTACAGTTAAAATGGCTCGATGTAACCGTAAGTCCTATGCTAAGAGTGTCTTCTATCGCACTTCTGGCCTGTGGAAGTCTCTTCCGGTTTCTTGCTTTCCAAAGATTTGAGCGGAAAGGCAATTGGTATCTTGTTTTCTTAATTCCTGTCCTCTTAATTCCTGTTCTTTTATTGTTCACTCTCTTTAATAATGTTTTCATTTCCCCGTATTCTATCACACTCAGTAATCCGTTGCGTCTTAGTGGCTTTATTGCTTTGCTTGGGGTGAAAATGAGTTTTAAAAAATAGATAAATGCATAAATAAACGGAAATAAGAAAGAAAGATTGAAAACGACACATAATGAACGGAATAGAAAAAGAAATGTCGTAAAATATGGTAGGAAGGAATTTCCAAAGAAAGGGGAAGAAACAATAGGAAGGAAGGAAGGAAGGAAGGAAGGAAGGAAGGAAGGGAGGGAGAAGGAAGGAAGAGGGATGGAACGAAGATAGATGGAAGGAAGGAAGGAAGGAAGATGGAAGGAAGGAAGGAAGATAGAAAGATGGAAGGAAGGAAGGAAGGAAGGAAGGAAGGAAGGTAGGAAGGAAGGAAAGAAGGAAGGAAAGAAGGAATGAAAGAAGGAAGGAAGATGGAAGGAATGAAGAAGGAAGGAAGGAAGAAAGAATGAAAGAAAGAAAGAAAGAAAGAAAGATGAAGGAAGGAAGGAAGGAAGGAAGGAAGAAGGATGAAGGAAGGGGGAAGATAGAAAGATGGAAGGAAGGAAGGAAGGTAGGAAGGAAGGAAAGAAGGAAGGAAAGAAGGAAGGAAAGAAGGAAGGAAGGAAGATGGAAGGAAGGAAGAAGGAAGGAAGGAAGAAAGAATGAAAGAAAGAAAGAAAGAAAGAAAGAAAGAAAGAGGAAGGCAGGAAGGAAGGAAGGAAGATAGACGGACAGAAGGAAGGAAGGATGGAAGCAAGGAAGGAAGGAAGGAAAGAGGGAAGGAAGGAAGGAAGAAAGGAGGGAAGGAAGGAATTGCCACAAGGAAGAAAAAATGAATCTAAAAAGTGAAATCAGAAGCCAACGAAATAATTAAAGGAGCTCAGACAAAAACAAAAGAAATGAATGAAAGGAAGAGATAATAAAGAGAAAGAGGAGTAAATGACTCAATACAGAAAGAAATAACGAGAAAGAAAGAAAGAAAGAAGTAACAAATGAATGACAAGAAAGAAAGAAAGAAAGAAAGAAAGA